GCCATAAAAATGTTGCATCAGGTTCTTCTATTTACAATAAAATTAATGTAAAATTCCTTACCTGCTGCATCTTCAGTGTTCTCGACGCCAGGCTTCCAATAATCACGTTTTCCAGTAAGAGTTTCTGTTAGAATTAACATTCCATCTTGTCTTTTAATTATTTATTGAAATAAAACACTAATATACACTATTTACAAGGTAGGTAATAATTATTTTAAGACAGTACATTTTAATTCTGAGTCTTTATGCTCCTCCGAATGGTTCCAATCTCCACTCGTACTCGGAACTCAGTTACAGAAAAAGTAAAGGAAGAGATGCTCGCCATCTAGTGGCAAGAATGTGACAGTGTCATTTATGATTTTTCATTGTGCTGATCAGTTTGTGCAGGAAAAAAGTTTTGCCTTTCAAAATTTTTTCACCATAACTCTGAGAGCTGTGTTGTTTTATGTCATCACAATATTGAGTGCATACCTTCAAATAACAATATCAAAAATTTCATTTTAATTGGTTGAGTGAATAGGCCAGGGTTTCATATATCAGGGAAGTTTTTTTATGACCTCACACTATACTTTATTTTGCATGAGCCATTGTTTCACAATAAATCAGAGTGTGTACAGTACAAAGTCCAAAGTCTATAATAATCTAATAACGAAACCTTCAGATCCCAGGCCAAATAATAATAATGATAGCAATAAAAAAAACATCTGAAATGGTTCAGATTTTAAATTACGTTCAAAGGGGCTTTTTTTTAACGTTTTGTGTGTTACCTTTATTTATTAAATATCATGTTCTGTGTACTCAAACTATAAAATCCAGTCCATCAGCAATGCACAAAATAATTTTAAAATAAGCATATCTGTAGAATTTCTGATACGGAATCTTGCGCACTGGAGATAAAAATGTTTTTTTCGTACAGTGTTGCCATTGCTCACTTTGAAATCATTTAGTTTTTTAATAAAAAATTCGTCAAGTGTTACAAAATCTGAAATCAATAATAAAACAAATTTCAAATTCAAATTAGGGCTTCCACATACCCATATTGTATGGAAGATTACGTTATTCAAATTTTGATGGTTCTAGGTACATTTGTTTTATTACAATACGAGAAATATATGTGTAATGCAGATTCTTCATTATTTAATTTCTTTAAATGTAAGACAGGGTGATAATACATGGTGGCAATGATTTGAAAATCATACAGCCTTTTAAAGTTTTTGATGCAAAATGGCAAAATTAGTAGTCCTTCAGGGCAAATCTACCTTTTGACTAAAAAGTTTAAAAAAAAAAATCTGAAAGCTTTGAGATTTTACATTATGCCCAAGGGGACGTTTTATAACCTTTTGTGTGTTACCTTTATTTGTTAAATATCATGTTCTTTGAGCTTAAATCATAAAATTCAATTCAGCAGCAATATAGCAAAATAATTTTAAAATGAACATATCTTTAGAATTTCCAATATGCTGTCTCGCGTGCTGGAGATAAAAATGTTTTTCCCTTCGTACAGTTTTGCCATTGCTCGCTTTCAAATTGTTGAGTTTGTTAATAAAAAATTCGTTGAAGTGTTACAAAATATGAAATTGATAATAAAACAAATTTCAAATTCCAAATTAGGGCTTCTAGATACCCATATTCGGTGGAAGATTATGTTATTCAAAATTGGATGGCTCTAGGTACCGTTGTTTTATCACAGTATGAGAAACATACATATATTTATGCAGATTCATCATTATTTAATTATTTTTAATATAACACAGGGCGATAATATTTGTTGGCAACTATTTGAAAAGTGAACTGACATTTTTCAATGCAAAATACAAAAACAAAATTAATAGCTCTTCTGGAATAAGTGCCCTTTGGGCTAATAATATAGTAAAATTTCCCCCCAGGAAAGTCTAGGAGTGGAAAATATAATAAAAGCAGGAGTGCATGATTTTCCCCTGGTTAATTGAGATTCCTGCATGCCACTTTTAAATACCTGCTGGCTAGAACTGCCATGATAGTCAGTAAGAATGCACTAATTAAGGTTGGCAAGACTTTGTGCTGTGTATTTAGAATAAGATGCTTCAGGTTCACATAGTAAGAATAATATGCAATGCACAATGTTAATACTTTTAAATATATATATATTAATATTTAATTGACTATATTTATAGTCTTCAAACTTATATGTAGATTATAAAAGTAAAACCTTATTCTTTCTCTGAACTAAAAGGTGTAGTGATTGTAAATAATTGATTTAGAACTGTTTTGAGCAGCTAAAGATAGAAATAAATATTGCAGTATTGTAAAATGAAAATATGTACTATGATACATTACGCAGTATTGTACAAAAATATTACAGGGTGCATAGCGATCCTTACAAGTGCTTTAACTCCTTATGTTTGAAAATAAAATATAAAGGCTCTTGTAGAGGCTACTTTTTCTCTAAAGCACTTATTTTTTTTTTTTTTTTTTTTATGAACATGCATTTTCCTCCCCATATTAAAGCCAAAGTTAAATAAACAACTTTTCTTCCTTATCTGGAACCTCAAATGGTGAATCTTTATCCCAGAAATAGTTTTTCTCCCCATTCTCTGCATTAAGGTAACCTTTGATGTGCGCAACTATAAGCAGGTGCATATCATTCCATTGGTGAAAGTATTGTGAAAGGGGTAGAAAATTCCGGTATATTCTGTATTCTTTTCCTCCCATCCAAGACTACAGAGGTTTCAATTTCTATCCAGATTTTAATAATTTGCATTCTCATTCCACATGTTCAGTTCATATTCGTGTTTATTATGATCGTTATGCTTATATTATGAGTATATGTATGAATACAGTCAAAAGTCTTTAATCCGGACCTCAAAGCTACAAACATTCGGCGCATGCGTCAACGCATACTAAACGTGCATGCGTAAATGTATTATGCGCATGTGTTAATGCATGTGCATAATACGTTTACGCATGCGTGTTTAGTGTATAACGGACGGTATAATCTAAGCTAAAACTATCTAATTATCTATTTCAGTTAATGTTGCATATTGCGTTGTTCATTAATCTTTGAATTGGATCCGGCTTATTATTTTTTGCAGACTGTTAGAGCAATTTTATAAAAGTAAGCTTGAACTTTCGATTATGTCAAAAAGAATTGCCGATTCTGGAGCTGCCAAAAGCATCTACAAAGCGAAAGCATATTTTGATGTCCATCAAACAAAAAGTGGAATTGCTGCAAAAAATGGATAAAGGCATATCCTTTGATTTTCTAATCATTTCGAAATATGTTTATCAATTTCACGCTCGCTGCTCTGCGGGGGGGGGGGGGCGCAGTGAACTGGAAGTTGATCTGTCAGCACTATCGTTATCTTCAGGGCAGATGTTTTTATTTTATTCGGCTTATAATTTCTCACTAAATGTAGTATTTCATCTCGATGTACTCCATCTTTGATATGATTTAAATCAAATTCTTCGTCATTATAAATATCACGAATACACATCAAATAGTTTTCTGGTTGCAATTTTCTAATTTCGACTATGCATAATGTATGCTTTACGCATGCGCGCGTTGAAAGAAATGTTTAATGAAGTAAACAAATAAATATAAAGCTTTTTTTTTTTTTTTTTTTTTTTTTGTAAATTTTGATACCATTTAGATCATAATTGCTCTTTATTTCATAAATTACGGTTTCATAGTTTTAATCTTATAATTTCTGCATGCCATCTTACCAGATTTAAACTGATGATCTATAATATGGAATCGCCGAAGTCCCGACGAGTCCAGATTAAAGACTTTTGACTGTATTTATAATAATATATTTTCAGTAACTGCTGAAGTATAAATATACTTCAAAACTGTGTAAGCCTGTTTTAATACAGATTGATTTTCTAAGGAATAATATTCTGAATGGCCTATGTATATGTATACTCATACATCTTTTTGAAAGCGTATCTGTATCTGTGTACAGTAAGACCCCGCTTAACGCTGTTTCGTTTAGCGCTGTTTCGGTTTAGCACTCTTTTATTTCAACCCGGGGATTCCCCGAAATATTATGCAGCGATAGGTTTCAAATACATATCCGAAAGAGTGTACTTGTATTTCTTGTTTGGTGCGGTATTGTACAGACATATTTTGAAGGGGTAAATGTGGAAGATGTCGAAGAAATAATTCAAGAAGCAGCGGCTAGTCTTTCTAATGATGAGCTCAAGGAATTAACTGAACAAGAAGAAAACAAAAATGTTCACAGCAGTGATTCAGAAGAAGAGCAAAAAGAACTTTCGATGGTGTTTGTAAAAAGGAGTTTGGCTACCATAACTGAAATAATGGATCAATTCATTGAAAATGATCCGAATTTTGACAGGAGCTCAAAAGTAAGGCGTATGTTAGAGGTGCTCTATCCGTTTATGAAGAACTTTTAAGAGAACAACGCAAAAGAAAAAGGCAAACAACATTAGATGCTTTTGTCACAAAAAGGCAGAACACTGAAAACGCGGAAGGCTAACTAAATATGACTGAGAATTTTATTTGTTTTTTTTTTTTAAGAATACTCGTTTGTTATTTATATTTTGTTTTTATTTTTTGCAAGAAATAATAATGTGGTATTAATTTGGGCTTTAAGAAATAAATGTTTGGTTTTATTTTTATTAAAAAAACATACTTTTTAAATTTAATACCTAACCAATTTCCTAGCCATCTTCCCCTAACCCCAATATTTACATGTAAAGATAGCCTCGTTTAGCGCTGTTTCGCATTACGCTCTACTTTGATGGAACGTATCCCCCGCTTTAAGCGGGGTCTTACTGTATATATGTGTATGTACACACATGCACATATATATTTCCCTTTCTTGTTTTGGAAAATTCCAGTATTTTCTACCTTTCGTTCTTCCTTTTCCCCTTTTTTAATCTTTACTATTTTTAGTTATAGCCAATGAGGGAAAAGATATGAATTAAATTCCTTCCATGGTATCAATACTTACTAAGAAAATAATCTAGATTCTAACTTAAAATTCTTTTGTTAATTTCAGATGTCCCTTACATCAATTGCATTCAGTGATTTTTTGCCAGTGTGGGCTGGAAATAGATACTAAAGTATGTATATATGTTTCTGTATTAAAATATGACTAAACTTCATATTAATAAGAACTAGATATGAGACTTTGGAATTTAATAACTGCTTCTTTAGGAATGGCAGCCAGCTAGATGTATAAGAGTATATTCATGCAGAAGGACTTCATAGCTCAGCATTCCACACCCTTTCTTGAATTTCACTATGCATTTTATAGAGAAGGCTTACATAATATTGCCCACTAATTAATGGTTGTGTTTCTTTTTTAAAAACCTATGAAGAGAATCCCTTAACTGTTCCCAAAAACTGTGGCCATTATCTTTTTTGTTGGTAGCTGCACCTTTGCTTTTCTTGGTTCTGTTTTGTATGCCTTTTTTATGTCTGTTGATTCCCTCCTTGATGCAGGGTAATAATATTGGAACATTGTTTCATCACCAGGTAGGATAGACTCTATGAAGTTTCTTTGATTTGTATTTAAAAACTGCAATAACTGTTCATAGCAAATGACATGTTTCTGTTTTTTAATTGCTGAAAGAAACTAGGGAGCCCATTTTGCAGAGACTTGGTTAATGTGAAATGTATATGTAGAATGTGCAAAATATATGTTTTAGATTGATCCAATTTTACTCATATCTCCTTGATTTTTAATCTCCTATCACTCAATATTTCATCCTGGACACGAGCAATATTTTCCGATATCAATGCTTTCAGTGGTCAGTCTTCACAAGAATCATCTTCTAGGGATTTTTAACCCATTCAAAATTGTTACACCCATTTTTTCACTGTAGAATAAGAAAGAGATAATACTTGCTCTTATTTCTTCGAGATTAAGGTCTTCAAAAATAAAAAATTTTGTCACAGAAACTCAATTTTAAAAATTTTATTAGAACGAATTACCCTTTATTCATTGAATAGTTAAAAAAAAACCGCACAGTTTTACTCTGCAGAACAAGTTTATTAAAAAATGTATTATATATATAAAAAATGACAATGAAATAAGCAATATCTCTTAATATAAATATTAATTATCCTAATAAATAAATTAACCAGCTTCCCGTTGCAAAATCTTAAGAATTCAAACAGTATAAAAGAAGTTAACTTTGTTTCCTAAAAAGAAATATGCAAAACTTTTCAATATCTTAAAAACACTGAAAAAAACAATAAATAACATGAAAAAAACACAAAAAACTCTGCAAAGGAAAGTATAATTAATAATAGTTTATCTCATATTTTCAAGAGTCCTGTATACAAAGCATTGAATAAAAAACTGTTGCCAAAACCACATGTCTGTCTGTATTAGCTTATGTGCAGCACAAACGAAAGACACACCACACAGACATACTCTTTCTTTTATTATATGTAGAGATTGTTGCCATTGCGTGTCTCCAAGAGGAATTCATTACCAAATGATTTTTTATTCATGAGGCCAAAAGTATTTGCATCAACATATGGAAATTAACTATTTTGTGGTGATGTTTCACATGAATAGGAGTGGCCCCCAGTGGATGAACAATGAAATCTCTGAACACTCGTAGTTCGGACCTCGGTTTGATTCTAGGCTAATAGCATGGCTGCATGGCATTCTCGTGTTTTTCCCTGTATGTAAATTGTGTATACAAGCCAGTTTCCCTTATAAAGTCTTCCATATAAACTTCCCTCTCCTTAAGGAGATAACTCTAGTGTGCTTTGCTATAATCAACTAAAATCAAACCACAGGAGTAAGTAGTCATGTTAAATAGTAAACATTCATTTATTAATTATTCAGTGAATGCAAGTTCTGACGTAAACATTTAATTATATATACAAATGTGTGTAAAAAATATGTAACTATATATGACAATGAAATACACTGACTACCAATAAGTATTTGGACACCTGTGATAGAGAAGAAAAACTAACTTTATTCAAAATCAATTGTTGGTAGATCCTCCACGAGAGGTAATTACAGCGTGGACCCTCCGGGGCATACTTACCACAAGTCCTTGTATGACAGCTAATGGTATTTTCTTCCACTCGGCTTGGAGAAGACATAGGAGTTCCTTCACCGATTTCGCATGGCAGTGCACCCCTGAATTCGGTGATGCAACTCGTCCCAGAGGGTTCTCGATAGGGTTCAGGTCTGGACTCTGGGCAGGCCAGCCCATTCAATGAACTCCATTGACACCATACCAAGCCTTGGTTAACGTCGAAACATGACAACTGGCATTGTCGTCCTGAAAGTAACAGGGGTCCAACCTGTAAAACTGCCACAACGTAGGAAGCACATTGTCATCCAAAATAGTGCAGTAGGCATCGGAATTAAGCTTACCATAAATGGGGACCAAGGATCCCAGCCCATACCAGGAGAAACACCCCCAGACCATAATTCCACCTTCGCTGAACTGGACTGTTGGCACAATGCATTCTGGCAGGAGATGTTCTAAGAGTAGACTCCAGACCCTGCCATCCGAACAGTAAAGGGTGAACCTTGATTCGTCACTCCAAAGAACCCGTTTCCACTGATCTACGGTCCAATTTAGATGTGCTTTGCACCACATTAACCTAGCAGCGCGTTTGGACATTGTGATCAAAGGCTTATGGGCAGCAGCATGACCATGAAAATCAAGCAGATGTGCTTCCTTATGGATGGTATTCATTGAAACAATACTCCCGGATACCTGTTGAAACTCCTCGCGGATGAGGGCCATTGGTTGGGTGCGGTTCTTCCGAATTTCTCTGGACAGCACTCGTCGGTCCCTATCTCCCAGTTTCGTTGGTCTGCCGACTCGGGGCACATTCCGACAATCACCACTCACCTTCCTCTTCTTAATAGGCCACGATTTGGGGACGGCCACATTTGTGATACCTGATAATTATACCTTTCTCAAAATCAGAGATCTCCGTATTGCGAGGCATTTTGCATGCGACTAAAGCCAATGTTGTTTCCTACACAATATATATCGGCGGAGTCTTTGACGTACCTTAGGATCGCAGATATCGTCATTTTCACAGGTGTCCAAACACTTATTGGTAGTCAGTGTAAGCACTATTAAAATTAGTAATAGCCCCTTAAATTTTTTTTTTCTTTTTCTTCTCTCTGTCTTTTTTTTTTTAATCATGACCAAGAAAACTGCTACGTAGGTGACAACTGGAGGAAAAATCACAACTAGCTTGAAGGTTAAAACTTTTATTTTACAAAAACAGGAACACTACACTACCATATTATTCATTAGATAAAATAAAGCTTTGTGAAGAGACATGATTTAGTTGGACAGTGCAAATGACAGAAGAGTCTAGTATGAAGGTCTCCAAAGCTCATAAAGTGTTTGAAGGTGGCTTGATTATTTTGAAGCACTTTTGTTTTAATCCTGCATAGTGATTGGACAAGAGTTTTTGCATTGTTTTGCATTGTTCTGCATAGTTAATGCAGAAGTAGTGTAGATGCTTTGAAGAGGGTCGTACTTTAATTGAAAGTTAGAAATTTGAAGGTCTATTGACAATTAAGTGTCTTTCAAATTTTCCGTTGTCTTAAAATGTGCATATTGAATCTGTAAATTTTTCAAGTACTTAACATATCAGCTAAAAATTTTAATTGCCTTATACCATGATGATTTTTAAATTTGGTTACCAACCTATTGAATATGTGCACTCACATTTTTAAATCCATTTCTTCTCATGAAATTCCTCATTTCATCACCTTAAGCCATTGCATTGGACCTGTGAATGAAAGGCCCTTACAGTGATACTATTTCGCCCATTCAATCGTTATTATCACTTTTAGCATTGCCAGTTTTTTTTTTCTTTTTTCCTTATTCATTGCACATAAAATGTCAAAATCCTCAAAAAGTGTTTTTTCTTTTATATGTATAGTATGCTATTGACTTCTAATGCCATAATCCTTGTATAATTGTAAGATGAACACACCTTTATCCATTTTGTTTGAGTGACATCAAAACATGCTTTTATTATGCAGATCCTAAATTAGAAATTCTTTTCAACATAATCGAAGATTCAGACTTTAATTCTGATTAGGTGGCTGTATTAACAGCAGCCTAAAAAAGAAAGAATAAGCTAGATCTTATTAAAAAAATTAAGGAAGAACATAATTAGCTATGCTAACTGAACGTAAGTTCCTCTGAACCTGTCTTCCTTCCCACCTGCTAAGCAAACAGAAAACAATAGGACCAACATTCCATTCTAAACAAATATGTTTGTAACGTTTTGTTTGTAATGATTGTAGAGGCCTAGCATTCTTCAATCTGACCAGATAGAAAAATGCTAACCCCCTACAACCACTTGAGGGCAGAAAGGGAAATTCTGGGCCATCTTCAGTCAATGTAAAATCATTGGCCAGGATGCAATTCTGTAGTCAGCAGGTGTTTGAAAGTTACATGCGTGAATCTATTAGTCTGGAGAAAAATTACATTTATGGCACATCTGCTTTTTGTTGAGCATTCTGTTATTTTCCTAAAGTTTGTAAAGGGAGTTTTTTTTTTTTTTTTTCCTCCCCGTGGTGATTTTCTGGATATTGGACATCCCAGTTTCAGCCTTTATAGTGTATTATTCTTGAGTTTCGATAGGAATCTATGGGAAATAGAAGATTAATGGGTATAATTATTTATAAAAAATAATTTAATAGTCTTCATACATTGCAGGTTATGTACAGTTGTGGATAAAAACAGTTCCTAAATACTGTGACATCCATCCATCATATCACTGCTGTTATCCAATGTATTTCCCCTCATTTTTGTATTCAGGATGGAAATTTTGCTCTTCTCCAATGGTTTGTTATAGTAACTTAATTTTTTTTAGACAAAGCTTAGTTAATCTGGAGGTGACTGTAAATAGGTAGCCAATAAATAAATAAAAATATGAAAAAGACTTCCCAAAAAGACAATCTTTTCATGTTCAGTTTCCTAAATAAATCAATCTGAATCATATATGCATGGTTGTGTTAATGCTGTTAGTAATCAAAAACAATTGTTATACATGAGATTAATAACAATAAAAATTTTATGAAGTTTAAAATTTGATTAGATTGGATTTATTTTATTATCCATTAAAAAGTTTAAATATATGTCTTTATTCCATTTTTTATACTGAGTTTATTTGATGTGTATTTTGTATTATTTTATGATAATTATGAGCTTTATTCAGCAAGATGGACTCACACTCCTAAACCTGAAAGAAGAACTTTATAGAGGACTAGAAACTCATGATAAATCATGCTCTGTTATTCCTACATTTTTACTTCTGCAATATTGTGATGTCAAGAACCTTACAATTACGTGTGAGGTAAGATATGAAAATTATTTTTTGTTGTCATTTTTATCACACTGGTTGAAAATTTTCTTTTCTTTTTGTGTATGTTATAAAAATTTGTTTTACATGTTCTAAAATAAAAATTTTAAAGTATCTTTTGAATACTTAAAAATTATAATAAAATATACTTGTTTCTGGAACCTTCTAAAAATGTGTTTCATGACCAATTTTTTTACTATTATAGTTATTATTATTAAATATAGTTTTTTTCTCTTCCTTCTTTTAGGTGTGTAATTTTATGTATATAGTCATTTGATGGACAAATGTGCTCGATTTAAGGTGCAAATTAAATATTAGTTTGATATTTTTCTTTGATGTATATTTTATATTTTAATATTACTTTGCTTTAATTTGTCTTTTTTGAAAGCAAGTAATATTATTTGATATGTAAATGTAAAGATTGCTACTGCCAAACATTCATTGTGATTTTTTAAACAATTACACTGCAAGAAAATATGCATTTTACTGTTGTTCTTTAATGTATTTCAAGGATATATGATTCAGAATACATAGTTAAACATTCCCCTTGAGTAGTGGCATAACCATCTTTATCTGGTCATGAAATTTTTTTGTCTCTTGGTATATATTAGTGTATAATTTAAAATATTTTGTTTTCTTACTCTACTTAATGACTTAAATATCATGTTAATGAATGGAAATTTATGAAAATGTAGACTAAAATAAGTAATTATACAAATTTAGCTACTAAATGCTGTTTTAGTTTAAGTCTTCATGAGCAGATCCAAAAACCTGTGACACTCAGATGGTTGAATAATGCAAATTTAAACAGCATGTATCTGTTAATATGCAGATGTTCAATAAATATATTGGAAATTATTTTGGAAATTTGGAGACAATAACTTGGTTATAAATGAATGTAGATAGTAGTGCATTTATCATTTTCTGTTGTAGAATAAATACTAGCCTCTAATTTCAAGATTCGCCCGACTGTTATTGTGTAAACATTTGCAGATATCACATGGTGCCATTCATAGTGATAGAAATTCAAAGCAATATAAGATAAATCACATTTGTAAAATTAATTGTAGTATATTCTGCACTATTATAATTCTATTCTGGTGCTTCACTTACATTGCTGCTACTGCAGTGAACCTGAGTGTTGTATCTATCTAAAAACTCATCATCTCATTGTGAACAACTTCATGGATCTATAAGTAAAATATGGATTCTCTCCATGAATCCAGCAAGTGGAATATTACACAAAAATGTGATCTTTTGTGGTACCAATGAAGCTAAGTGCAGTATTTGCAAGCCTTAAATAACATGTCCCATATGAAGTGCCACCTGTTTTGATAGAATTGTGCCCAAGAAAAGAAAAGTAATATATAAAAAGAAAGTTGAATAGCTGGCTGGATATGCATTGCAGATTTTTTATTACATATATGTTTCCATTACTGTATTATGAATATGATTGTAATGCTGTATGCCAGAAAATTATATGTATTTTATTCATTAGAGCATATATTTGGTAAGTAATACTATCTATTACAATTATCATAAAGCAACAATACTGCCAGTGCTTTGTTACTAATTCACAAACCTTTGTAAATAAAAAAAATTATATGTTAACTTTTAATTTTTTATTGCTAATGTTAGTCATGTGTATAGTATCTACTGTATTTTGTATCGTAGTGTAATAGATATTAAAAATTATTCATCTTATAAGCAAACATTGTAAACTTATGATATCAATAAACACAGTATGCTATTATAGTTGCATTTTCTCTCGTGTTGCTGTATACATAGTCAAATGAATAAGATATGAAGAGAAAATTATAGAGCAAGGTATCGTGGTTATTTAATGCCTAGAATTCTTTCTCAATTCCTTCTAAAAGCTCTACTCACAAGAAGGACTGCAAGTGCATGTAGTAGAGTTGATATAGATAGCTTAATAAAAATTCCAATATTTTTTCTGAGTTAGTGAATGATGCTTTCTTTCAAGTACTTTGGATATTTGAATTTTCAACTGCTTCATAGCATTCAAAATTTTCACACTTTTCTATAGGGTATTGACATTGGTTAAATGATTAATTGTGATGCAAAACACTCTTCAGAACTTCATTCTAATCATGTATTTGCCGGAAATGTAAATAACATACAAAAATTAAGCAAAGTGATATCTGTAATGCAGAATCTTCTGTATTTCTTGCTTATTCAGTAAATTTACACAGGGGGACCTTTCTAAATGAAAATAAACTTGTAGCTGTATGATTAATGCTGCGAATACCGACTACTTTTGTTCTTTTTCTGGTTGCGATCTACGTCTGCATTTTTCCGGTTGCATCTACATCTGCATTTTTGTGGTTTTACTCATGCAAAATGTAATTACAGGCCACTTTCCCATATAAAATGTTACTCAAAGACATCCTTTCCAAGGTAGGAAGGTCGGATACGTTTCGTTAAATTAATAAAAAAAGCTTAGAGTTACACATTAAAATATTTATATAGACAGTAAATAAAGCATGATAGCAGAGATATCCTGTACTTTTAGCTCTGTAGCATTTTTCCTAGGCGGGGCAAAAACTTAAAACTGCCGCCCTCACCCATCTTAAGTTTCTCTAATCTAAAAGAAATATACATAACAAATGGTTTAGTTTCTTTACTTATGACAAAACACCTGCCTAAGAGGAGAAATCGCTGAGGACTTTCTAAGAGTAATTGGCTCATATGCAAGTTATGCATGAGGGAAACGACAGAAACACCCATACAGCCCGCTAATTTGCTTGATTCTAACCCCCAACCGAACTGCTAGTGTTTTACCTCTCAGCCACTGGTGGCCCGACATACATACCAAAAGTTACATAATTAAAAACCCATGCGAACCCTCCTAATGCAGTTTCTTCTCCAGTGCATTTAAATAATCAAATTTATATTTTCCCTGAAATAGGGATTTTTATTAATATTTGCAACAATACCTACTCATACTAATAAATGATACTATAAATAAAACGATTTAGTACTAAATACTAAAATAGTTCAGAACAGTACGAAAAGGGGAATCGCACACTACTAAGTAATAAAAAATATTATTTAAGCAAATTACAAATAACTAATGCAATGGATTGAATAATTTTATACCAATTTCTCGATACTAACAGTAACCCAGCACGTTAAAAATTCATTTCACAATAACACCTTCATGTAGTCTACTTAAGAACTCTACTATGGTCCTCACAAAGCCCGATAACATAATAAATATTTACATATTCACACAAAAGACTATTTTTATACTGTAATAATCAAATTTACATTTTCTCTGAAATACGCAATTTTCCAATATTTGCAACAATAACTAGCCTGACCAATGGAAAATGATTCAGTACTAAATACTAAAGCAGTTCAGCATAGTACAAAAAATAGAACTGACACATTACTAATTAATATCTTAAACAAATATATATAAGTTACAAATCACAAATGAATTAGATTCAATAATGAATACTCCAAATTCTCTAAAATAACAACTTTAACCTGGCACTTTAAAATTCCATTTCCCTGTAACTCCTTTATGTAGGCTACTCAAGAACTCTACTATCGGCCTCACACAGCCTGATAACATAATAAATATTTACATTTTCATACAAAAGTCTATTTTTGCTCTGTAATAATCAAATTTACGCTTCCTTTGAAATATGTAGTTTTGCAATGTTTGCAACAATAACTATCCATAGTAATGGAAAGTAATTCAGTACTAAATACTAAAGCAGTTCAGCACAGTACGAAAAATAGAAATGTCACATTACTTATAATAGCTTAAACGAATATATACAATTTACAAATCACTAATGCAATGAATAATCAAATTTCTTTTTTTCAATAACATACTTAAATAAGTAAGTCCTAACATTCAATCAAATATGCACTTGTAATAAAAATAATCTTTAGTTACAAACAATAGATAACATAAGTTGGGACAATCGATGAGCTGATTAATTACGTAACTAACTTTCATTAGCTATACTTACCTAACCTAACGCTCTCTAGTTCTTACCTAACGCTCTTAAAATATTACAGAATTAAAATTTTACTCTGCGAGCCTTTTGCTATGCAAATAAATCTATGGCATCGTCATAATTAACTTGATGTGCTGTTTGATTTTCGATTGCCAGAACTGTGTGACTTGATAAACGCTGCTGCCTCATGGATGATCTCGGATAGTTTTTATTAAGTTTTAATTTGCTAAAACTTCGCTCACTTGCAGATGTAGTTGGAAGCATAAAGTAACTTTGCAGGGCAATACAAATATTGTAAGACCTCCTGAAAATTATAGGTGTAGATCTGTCGCAAGAGATAAAAAAATTCTAGCCTTTTTTATGTCGACGAATAACAGTGACGCTTGTTGTTTAAAAACGGCAAGTTCCTGGCAGAACTCAAATGCGTTTAGATCTCGCTCATATTTTCATGCAAGATCTGTTCCATTCTTTTGCAATTCTTCAGTTGACATATTCACTATTTCACGACCAATGAGAAATTCGAATTTAGTGTAGTAGCGCTGTTTACCCTCGTTTTAATTTCTGATAAGATTCTATCAAATACAATTTTCATTGCATTAGAAAATAGCTGAACAGGATGAAGTGTTCGTGATTCGTCCTAGTACAACTCATCAAATTTCTTTTTGCGCTTTAGAATTCGTTTATTTGTCAAAATAGGTTCAATCTCAATTTTTTCAGATGCTGCTTTAGATTCTTCTATCCAATATGCCATAGGAATTTCTCTCATTTTTTTCAAAGTTTTGGTCAGACATTCCATTAAAACGACGGAAAGCGCAAGAACAGTATCTTCCTTTTGAATTTCAATATTTATTCGATTGATTTCTCAAAGACTATTAGTCCAAATTATCAGGTTGATAGTAAATTCAAAATTTTTTACAACATGTAGCAGATGTCCTGCTTAGTACTTTGATTCTGCACTAAGACAAAGATAATTAATTTCTTTCAAGGATTTTACTACCTCTGGTAAATTCGTTAGAAGAGCTCTCACAGCCACATATTTTGCCAACCATCTCGTCTGGCTGCTTCCTTTTAAGTTGGCTTTTGTACATCGTTCTGTAATATCCCATCGAAGAGTGGATCCGACAAAAAAGCTAAATATTTAGGCTTCGGGGCAAGATGAGGCAGTATGCACGCTGACAATACTCAAAGAGTAAACCAAACATTGCACATATTCGGCCAGCTCATTCATTTCTGTAATCCTGGCTTGTACTCCATTATAAGTACCGGCCATATTAGATCCGTTATCGTCAGATTGACCACCACATTATTCTATATCCAAACCATCAAGAGTCAGTTTTCCCACAATCCGTTGAGAAATACATTCTCTTGTCTTTCCACGAACTTCTATGAAATCAATGAAGCTCTCCTTTATTTCACACACATCACCACATATTTTTTACGTATCAAATCACCTGGCTCATTTATTCTGTATGCGACACATCTGGAATGTAATCAAACATTATTTTATAATATTTGGCTTCTTTAATATCATTTAAAATGCTATTGCGAACTATTTTTGCCATTATATCAGTAATTTCATTTTGAATTATCTTTGTTAAATATGATACTTGTCTTTTTTTGGTATTCTGACTGGTACTTAAGAAGTGAGTTACGTTTGGCTAGCAGAGTCATTAAATCCAAAAAATTGCCTTGACTAGACCGAGGACACTTTGTGAACAGACTGCTAGGGGTTTCATCACACCCACGGAAAGAAAGACAGTTTGTTGAAAGATACAATGCAGCATCCATAACTACCTGTAGGATCTCTCCATTTTTCTTTCTCTGTGTGAATTAGTCACTTAATGTCATGATCAATGCCTTGACACTGTTTCATTTGTTGTAGTCCAATTTCCCACTTCGAATGTCGAATCATGCACTCTCTGTGGATTTCAGATGCTTCATGCTCAATTAACCTTTCTGAAGCTTTTTTTTCAGTTAATTAATCCTGTAGTACACAATGCTGATGTAGCAGCAGTGGCATGTTTCTGGTAAATTTCACAGGGTATACAAAAATTACATTTTTAAGTTTAGAATATATAAGCCAAGATCTGTTAATCTTTTTATTATTTGTTAATGTTCTGTGCCACAATGAAGATATCAGATGTCTTCCACATTCAGTGGACCTAAGTTCTACGTATTCTGGATAATTTTCAGCTAATAATGCAGCTTGACTGCTTAAGAAAGATCGTTGCTGATCGTTAATTTTTTTTTTTTCTTCTGTAATTAGCCAACAACCTGGGTCCGACAAATCAAAAGTTTTTAAGTCTTCCTTCTGCTGCCCACATGCACCTAAATTTTTTTTTTTTTTTTTCTTCTGTAATTGTCCAACTACCTGGGTCCGACAAATCAAAAGTTTTTAAGTCTTCTTTCTGCTGCCCACATGCACCTAAATGAGAAAATACTTTTTCTCCTAATTTTATGTCCTCTAAATGTTCGTTTGAGGTCGATGAAGAAGGTTGCTCTCTCAGTTGCTGAAATGTAGTCTGAGGATGAAACATGAAGATTCTTAATCCTGGTCATTCAAATTGCAAGAAATATCAATATCCTTTAGAATCTCGGCATCATAGGAAGTCTGAGGCAGTGTTTGACGGTTCGCCTTTTCTGTGAAGCCTTTTTTTTTAAATTTTAGCTGCAATTTGTTTTCTCTGTTCTCTTTCTGGTCTCTGATTCTTTTGCTCTTTTTCTATATTTTGCCCCTGAGAGTTCTTTTTCTAGACGCTC